AAAAAAAAAAAATCAATTGAAATCCCTGGCATATAACAATCAGCACAAAGTTTTCTTTTCTCCTTAATTCACCAACTTGACCCAATGAAGAAGCATCGCTGATAAACAATACAGAATAGAAAATTGACGAGACAATTAAACAAATATAAATGGGATAAAAAAAGACTCGTCTCAATAATTCTCAAATAAAACTTCAACATTACTTCATCAGAGAACTAATTTGAAGAAAAAAATGCAACCACAAAATCAAATTGTTCAATAAAGCAACAAATAAGAACGAAATGGTTAGGGGTAGCAGACTAAACAGATACAATAACAAGCTGAACTTGAAGGGGGCAATAAGGCAGAACAGTTGAACGGTTCCTCATCAACAGGAAAAGATAAATGAAGCAAAAAAACTAATCTACTAATCAATTTAGACATTTGAAAGTGAGAAGAAAAAAATGACGATATCAGCAACACAAAAAGGATAAAAAAAAGGAAGAACTCAGAAAATGACCAAACTGAAGAGTCACATATTCCGGTTAATTAGTTACCGGATAAAGTTGTGAAAAATAAACTGTAATTCTGAGTCAAGGTCATCCGTCGCAACCTATCTATCCATCGATTTATGAAGAAACCAACAGCATCAGAGCAATGGTCAATAAATATTTTTTTATCGACAAACTACTACTACCACTACTCCCCAATAATCGGTTGCTGCCCGATTGGAATGTCGACAACCATAGAGTGTACTCAATTGTTGTTGATGCTTCTCCTTCTTGATTTTTTTTCCTTCTCTTACTCTCTTTCTTGGCTTATAGCACTTATTGAAGTAGCGGTATCATTATCATCATCATCAGTAGTAGTGTTAATAGTAGCCGACGTAACAAAAGCATCAAAACCCTCAAAAATAATGTACAACAGTAGTACAGCACAGTAATAGCAGCAGTAGCCAAAAACTGTCACAGAATCGTACGATACTTCGGGCAGTTGCGCATCTTAGTTGGTTGATTGGTTCGACAAATCTTATTGGGAAACAGGGTCCCAGTAAACGCTGTACAAATTTTGTGCATACCGCTGGCCCAAGCGGAACACACTTTTAGTATATGTATAACTTCTGTCCGTTTGATTTTTGTGTGTGTGTTGTGAGTGTGTGTGTGTGTGCGTGTGTATAGAATGCCGCATTAGTTGCTTTCTCCATCTCGATGTTGCTTCATTTCGACGTATTTCTTGCCAAAAACAACAAAACAAGAACATTACAGCCGTATAATAGTTTGCTAAATTTTTTTTTGCATTCATAATTTTTTTTTTCTCTTTTGGCTAAATAAAGCTTATACCGTATAAATTAATTAATTCTCAAAGCGAAAGTTTCTCTCTGGCTACTTTCCAATTTTGCAACAATATTATTTTTTAAGCACAACACTGTTTAATCACTGATTTTTTTTTTTGCCGTTAATTGGTGCCTTCTTTTTCACCATTTCGTCTGTTGTTGCATAGGTTTGTCGAAAAAGTGCGTAATTTTGAAGAAGGTTTTTTGGAGCCTGGTTTTTTTTCTTCTTTTGATCCTATAATTAAATTTTAATTTGTTTGCAGTACAACATCATTAAACTTCCAATTTCCCGACAAACAGTGTAAGACAAACGCAAATTTTTTTTCAATTCTATTCCGTCAGTTTTTTCTGGTTAAATTTGTTTTTCCCAGCAATTCAATTATTTTTAAAAACAGAAATTTGATCCTCAAATCGTGCTATTGGTGCTACCGTTTTCATTTTTGGTAACATTAAGGAGAAGGGTTAAGGCGAGCTGACTTCTGCTTCACTAGTAACTTTCGCTTTCTTCTTCTCATGCCGTACAGTTTTCTTTCAGATTTTGAACTTGTATAGATTGTAGAACTAAAGGGGCCCACTTTTATTTAGTTTTTCAGTTATAGCAATTAACAATGGTAGTGAGATGGCAAGGTCTGTTTTAACTGAGGCGATAATATTCTCAAAAATTATGATTTTCAGACGTCATAAAAGTCTTGTTTGGATCAAAGCTTACCTGGCTAGGCATTTCTCATGCTTATTGCGGCCTTTAAAAGTAAAAACAAAGATTTGCAAACGATATATGAGAGCCGCAGGTGTTTTTTAAGTGGGAATTACTTTTCGGGAACCTTTAACTGTATATTATATATATATTTATGAAAATACTAAGATATCATTTAGAAGGTTACTGAAAGAAAAAAGAAAGAAATGAAAAACTGGTGAGAGTTGTTATAGATGGCAAAAAAGGCAGATACTTTACTGTTCCTTATTGAGAGGTGAAGTTGAAAGAATGGTAACATACCGGAAACAACTCGTCTTAGTATCGGTGTGACGTTCAATAAATTTTTTATTAGGCATTGGGTGTTGAGAAGCTAAGGGTGTTTTGCTTTTTAACAGTTATTCTTACCGGCCTTAACAACTGCTGTA